AGATTTCCCATCAGACAGGAGGATGCTTCAGAGATAACAGCCCAGAGTTCACTTCATGGGGAGGATCCTCTGTGTGTGTCGAGGACACACAGGTGGGTCGGGTTTCCTCACGTGCTTCCCCTTGCTGGGGAAGAAGTTGCCTTGTGCACCGGCACACTTGTGGCCACACTATTTTCTGCAGGGGCCTAACCAGGAGATATTTATTCTCTGAGTGTCATATTTGCAGAATCTCACTTTGCAGTTTTGCAACTGCAAGCAGAGCTGAGCACTGTCTAATGTTTCCTTTGGGATCAAAGAACTGTGCAGCTCCAAGAAATGCTGGGAGCTGTAGACTCAGAGATGTGATGGTGGGTCTGCTGCCAATTATATTCTCCTTCTAGCTTCACTATATCCAATCAATTAGATCTGATTTAATCCCACAGGAGACTAACAAATCCCAGCATCAGGAAAGGCTTTCTGGGTCTGTGTTTCAGGGAGGAATTTTGTCCATTGTAATTTTTTTTTTTTTTTGGCAAAGTCATTTCCTATCAATTCCTCAAAGGTTTGAATGTGTGGGGGAGAAGGGAAGAAAAAGTTTTTGAAAGAAATATAAAATCATGTTAAACTGTAGAAATACTTGTATTCACAGCTTTTACTTGCCTGTCTGTGGAACTCTCCAGTAGCTGAGTGATCATTTTCCCAGGGATTTAGAAGTTTGGTTTGGGGGATTTTTAAATTTCTGCAAGAAACTCTAAAGAAAGTTTGTTCCTTTGCACTCCCTGAAGGTGAAAATTAAGAAAAGAAAATTAACTGTTACTGAGCCAGGCTCACAGAGCAGTGTGACTGAACTAATACCTCAGGATAATGAGGCCAGTATGAGCTTGAGAAAAACTCTTATTAAAGAGTGATGGGCTACAACTCTTACAGTTTAGCAGAGTGGAATTTCAAGTTGGATTGTTCATGCTTTCCAAATGAATGTCCAAATGATGTGCATAAAAATTTGTGATGAGCTACCTTTGTATGTCCTGGGACTTGAATTTCATGAAGGTGTTCAGCTACAAGATCTCCATCCACTTGTAGCTTTAGGCATGCCAGTATTGCTTAAGTGAGCAATAACCATCTAAGCATGGAGTAAAAACATGGTTGATGAACTGGAAATGAGAATAATTTATGCAGAAAAACCTCTTTCTGCACTTTTCACATAAATAATCAAAAATGCAAAAGCACTGAAGGAAATGAGGATCATGTTGTCTCAGGTGACCAAAAAATTGAAATATCAGAACACTGGGTGTTTGTAGCAACACAATATTCAGTGACCACTTTTGCTGGGACTGCTCTTGGAGCTTGTTAACCCTTTTTGCTCAGATAGTCTCTCCAATTCTTTGGTAGGAAGAATTTGGCCCTGTTGAAAAGAGATTCAGTGACTTAAAAATGGAAAAATAATGGATGAAAAGTGTGCACCTATCAGTAAGTCAGATCAGTTAGAGAGGCTAGAGATACTTGGAGGTAGACTTCTTATCTATTCAGTCATGAAATGTGTGTTGCTCTCCTCACTTCCAAGTGATCCTCTGCTTTCTGCTGATTGCTCCTCGGTGGTTTATGTGCCAAGGTAGAAGGAGAGCAAAATTCTAGTGCAGTGAGGAAACCAGTGAGCAGAGCTCTGCTCACTATTACCTTGTTGTACTCCAAGCACTCATCTGAGAATAGAAAATAGGCACAGAATGTCCTCATATCATTAGGAGATGTAAATGCCAGCAGACAGTGAATTTGGTCAGCACCATGGCCAGTACTTGAGGAATTCGGGAGGCTACAACAAATAAAGTAACTCCTAACAAGAAATGAGAAAAACATCCTCTTCCATTGAAGGTATAAGGGTTTGGCTGTGCAGTTTGAACTTATTCATGTGAAAATATTTGGCTTTTTAAATAAAATACATCCACATTGGTCTTTTCAGCTTTCTTCTCCCCTGTTGTGCTGAATCAGACACTCTGCACTGCACATGTTTGCATTGCACACATGCATGAACAGTCCAACTTCCAACTGCACTCTGCCTAGTTGTATCCTTTGGAGGCCAGGGTGTAGCTTTAATCCAGCTTCCTAGGGATCAGCCTGGCCTCACCACTCAAGTATGGGTCATTCTTATTCAGTAACACAATGCAAATTAAGAGCAAGGGCACTGTTGTCTCTTGTTTTCACAAGCACTTGAATCCTCACTGAATTTGATGGAGGTCCTGAACATGATCAAAACAGAGATTACTGTGACTTGCTACTTTTCCATAAAGTGAATTTTCACAGCAGCCATCACTGAGGAATGAGTAGCTCACTTCTAAAATTAGCCAAATTTTTAGGACATCTGTAGTTCAGAAGAAAGCAGCTGTGTAGAAATTAATTTAAAACTGCCTCTGGTAAAGCTTCACTTTTTTAGTTATCTAAACTTCTTACCACTTATGACCACATCCTGATGAGCGATATTCATGTGCCACAGCTACCGTTGATTCAAAGCAGTAGCAATTCTTCTTCCTCCACCCCTAGCCCCCCATTAAAGACAAGGGTTAAGCACAGTGGACTACACCCAAACAATGGGCTCATGCAGAGTGAGGGGCACTCAAATGAATAGGATTTGCCTCAAACAGATGGGGAAATACAGAACAAATCCCTTATTAAATTTCTGCTGTGGCAAATGAATACACCCTCAAGCCACTGTCAATGAATGCAAAGGGAAAAGGGCTGCACACACTGGCTGACCTGCTGTGGGGATCCATGAATACGACCCTGAATGTGAGCAGGCAAAAAGTGCCTTCACCCTGTGACACGAATACCCCGTCAGGGCGAACTCACTCGCTGTCTGGTTGCTCAAAAGATCTTGTCAGGTTTAATTTGTGTTGGTGGGTTTGATGTAGGCCAGGTCCTATTTCCTCTCAGAGCTCTCCTGAAGGCAGTCTGAGCTCTGCCATGTGCTGATTGCTTGGTGTCAGTGTGGTCACAGACCCAGGCCTGGCTGGCATTGTGGGAAAACCCCTTTGGGATCTTGAGGTGTACTCAAGAGCTACTCTGGGAGGAACCATGGACTTGAGAGTCTGAGAAAGGTTGAAAACTGAGTGTGTTTCATTCTTGTTCCATATATCCAGACAGAGGGTGCAAATGTATAACAGTTTCAAAAACTCTTTCGTTTTCTGCTGAAAAGTTTGGATAAGATTGCAGCACTTTTGTACTTGTGAGAATTCACCTGCATCTAAAGCTTGGCTAACAGGGTCTGAGACCGGCAGATCTATGGGGAAAAAAGAGAGAGAGGATAGGAAGGATAGGGCAAAAGCATGGGAAGATGGTACAATACTCTTAAAAGAAAATGTCCCTGAAAGTTATGTTTAATTTAGTTTAAGATTCTGAGAAGCATTATACAACTTCTGAAGCTGAAGTGCGCAATCTTTCAAGGTTGATTTAACTGTATGGTTATAATCGAGCTGTTTTAAAAACCTGTACTCAGACACACAAGAAATATTTAGCTTCTAATTTAGTAATTTTTTTTTAAAAGGTACTTTCAGTGGCTCTTGGGCAGATGAGAGAAGTTTCTTACAGTGTTTCATCTCTCATTTTATAATGCTGAAGTACCTTTTAGCTTTGATGATTGGCTTGACCTAAATTGACATCTGACAAAGAAGCCTGATATCAGCACATAAATCTGTGATAATCACCACATCATTACACAGTGCCACCTTTTGAAGAGGGAATTGCAAAGCTACTCAGTATTCAAAATTCAGCAGAAAGCTATTAACCCTTGTTTTTATAAATAGATTTAAAAGTGCCACTTGTAAGGAGCACAACTGACAAGCTCTGAAGCAAAACTAAACTATTTGAGATGGGACTTTGATGCACATTTCATTAGAGTTCTGCTGCCCTGAAATGCAGATAACACAAAGTCGGTTTGTGCTGAAAAGTTTTTCTGGTGTGATTAATACTAGATTCCTAAATCAGAATGTTCTCAGCTGTTCTGCTGTTTTTCTGAGATAAATATGCCTGTCTGAAAATAGGCGGTGTGACATTGCTCTGAATGTATGGGGAAATGATGTATCCATGCACATGTGTGAGCTAAGCAAGGGTTAGTGTGAAGTTATGAATAGACCCCCCCAGTTCTTAACTTATTATTGTCTAGAAGGGGCCTGAAATGTAAGGTGACAAAGGCTTTCTGCCTTCACAAGGTGTGCAGAAGGTATTTACGGCCTCTGAAAACTATTCTTGATTTACACATCCAGTAAGGAAATTATTTTGACTTCTTAACCCACTATTGTCTTTTCCCTCCCCACAGCTGTTTCTTTGAGGGTGTTCTCCCATTAGCTTAAAATAATATTAACAGTCACAGAAAATAGGCACCACTGGGATCTTTAGTAGGAGCTTTATCATGCACTAATTGTTTGAAATCATAAGACCTCAGAATATTCCTCCAGGGATCTGCTAATGCACATCCTACAGGAAATGTGGAAGCTCTTAATTTGGAAGTGTTACAAGTACCTTCTCTCTTCGGAAGTTTTTAGCAGGTATCTAAATTATATGCTTAAATTTGAAGCATATCTGATGTTTTTCTCTCTCATTTGTGCAGATAGCTATGGAAAATACACACCACAATGCATACACAGGCATATTAGAGAATAACTCAGGGGATCATCAAGCCCAGCTCCCTCTTCCTTGCAGATCCAGGGTATAAAGAACTGATGTTGAACTGTGCATGCAGTATAGGGGAAACGTGCTGAAAGTGGTTTGCTGTGGGCATGGTGTGGTTTTGTGTGCATATATAAACACCCCTGCGTGGGGTCACCATTCTGGTCCCCCTGGTAATTTTTATTGCAGTTCCAACTAGCATGATTTTCTGTATTAAACTCTACCATGGGATATTCCACATGAAAGCATATCATGAAGCAGTCCAGATGAGCAAGACTTTGTTTTTAACTTTGAAGCAGCGTGTCAGCTGCCAACAGCAAATGCAGCACAGTGATCTGAAGAAGTCATGCATCGCGTCGCTCACTTACCCACTGCCTTTAGAGAGGCGTACTTGTTAAGCTCTTTGCCTGGGGGCTGTTGCTCATACGGGTTTGTGATCTGTCCCAGGCTGGGATATGAATGTTGATGTGCCATCTGAGGAAGGAGGGGAGATGTTGGCATGACATTATTCATCTGTGGTGGATCTGTATTAAAGAAAATCGACAAGCATTAAGAAAAAAGTAAGTTAGTCTTAAGGTTTCGATGTTGTTCCCGAGTACAGATTAGACAGGGGGTGCCATGAGATTCGATGCAGCAAAACAGTATTTGCTACTGAAGTAAGAGTTGAGTACAGCAAACCTGTACTTCAAACAGTTAATGGCATGATTAAAGGCTGGCAAGTGATTGTAGCAACACGTGGTAACTTTTGTATAAAAAAATCCTTGAACTAGAAAATAGGTTTTCAAAACGACTGAACACCAACACAAATAATTGAATTTGCTGCAGCATTAGGATACAAACCAAAACATGGAGTTGGTTCCAAGTTGTCTTGAATACAGGGCGGTTGTGCCTCTGTGTGCAGTTAAATAGCCAGACTCATTTCACTTGGCTCGGGCGGGGCTGCTGCATTTACATTTCGTGGGCTCTTACACCGCTCCCAATCCCGGCCTGCTGCTTTGCACAGCACTGTGTTGTGTTCTGTAGACGTGGCCCCCAGTGCAGAATGGGCTTTTCTGATTTGTGACGATCATTAGGTGATTTCATCAAAGCAAACCCTTTGTCCTCCTGTTTTCTCCCTTTCCCTGGCAGTGGGTATCACAATATCATACTATAGGAATGTTTTTCGTAGCAGACACACAGAAAAGCAGGACTTAACTACTGCTAATTGCAACTTTATACCAGCACTCACCCCATATCGAAATATTGAAGTTGATTTGTTCCTTTTATAGCAGAGAATACAACCTGTATACTTTTCTTTCTAAGATATAAATAATTTATTTATTGTTTTTAATATTCGGTTCCAGCTCCTAAAACACTTGGTCAGAATTGTATGCTGCACTCTGTTTGCAAACCTAAATTTCAACAGACAACAGTCTTCCTCTAGACTGTGGATTTTGAGATATTTGGAGCTGAATGGCAATCCTAGAACCTTGTCATGGCTTCTGCAATCACAGACAAACACATTTTTCTCCTGCAATGAAACCACAGTGCTGGACTGGTGACAGAAACTCCCTCAACATCAAGTACTGGGTAGAGATCATGTAGAGAGAAAGCTGCTCCGTTACAGGAAAGGTGATTTATTGTGATGGATGGACTAGACCCTCCTCCAAGTGCCCACAAGGATCTGGCAGGAGCCAAATATCCCTTCAGTTTGCCAGGATTTTAAGGGATTTGAGCCACTTGGCTTTGCCCAGCTCATTAATAAGCAGGGGCTCTGAAGTCAGTTAACAGATTTACTGCTGGAGAGAAAAGAAAGCGGTGGTGTTTTTTAAGTTCCTTCGCCATCAGTGCTGCCTGGTGCAGCCTGTGCTGTTCACACTGGGCCTGCCCTGCCTCTGCACAGCTCTGGAATCACAGACATGTGGACCCAGGTTGGGAGGGCACTCTGAGGTAACTGGAGGGAAGTGTCACAAGTGCCATCACCTAATAACAGTCTGATTCTTGTTGCTGGTACTGGTTGTTAATAGGGAACAAATGGGTTGCGGATAATAGAGCTGAATGAGGAATTATTTTCCCATACAAAAAGAGTTTTACAGTGAGTGGGTATTTTTTTTCTTTTACCGAAGAAATGAAATCTGAAGTGGGACTTTTTTTGTACAAATATTGTGTCAGATCAAGAGAAACATTTTGTCATGATTTCAAAATTTAATATATATAAAAGATAAGTTGATACACATTTTAAAAGAAAAATGTTAGTTTGGATTGGAAACAGGTACTTTTTGTGTTCAGAATTCCCCCCAAAGTATTGAAACAGTCTTTGAGTCTTTTTTGACAGTTTTACCTTTAAAGGGTAAATTCGCTAAGTCAGCCCTTTCACAGAAACACATTATTTTAAGGAATTGCTATATTGTAATTTCAAATCTTCGTTCGCGAAGCCTAGCCATGATCTGATTTTGCAATAAATAAAAACTCTCAGGATGTTTCTTTTCAGCTCTAAAACTGGCATGTCTGATGCACCCAAGTGGAGTTACTCTTCTCTTAGAGCAGGAGTTCATGAAATCCTGTACCTTTCTCATTCCATCTCCAGAGTACAGCTGAGGAAAGCCTCTTACTCTGTTTGAACAAACAAATAGCTGACTATTCTCCCCCAACCATCCATGTCTTCCAAGTATCTCTCTTTTCTGATTGCATGTGTGAGTACACTTTTGAGCAGGACTGCCAGCACAAGTGCATTTCAATACAGGGCAGCACTGAAGGTACCAGCACGAGTGGGACCTTTACCTGTAAGGAAAGTGTCAAACTTTTACACTACACTCACTAATTTTTTTCTGAGTAGAGCTAAATCTTAGTTCATCATAGGAGCACTTCATAGATGCTACTGTTACGAAGTTCCCTTTGGCAATTCCTATTCCTAACTCTGTCAAAGCATTGTGATTTCAACGTGGTGGAAGTATTGTGAGCACCAGTATTTCTACACTCACTGCTGAAGGAACTTCCAGCTGTAGAGACTTGTAAAAAAAATGTAAATTAGGTGTAGTTAACCAGGACTGTTTCTGTGGTTTTGTCTTAGACCTCTCAGTTTTACTCAGTCAGCACTTCAGACTCAGTGTAGGAAGTTCCCCCAGAGATGTCCTGGGGAAGATGACTTGGGTGAACCTGGGCTCCGTCCCACTGTTCAGTGGCAGAATGTTGTTACTGAGTTCCTGGGTTACTAGTGATGCTGGGCTTTGCTTCTTGGAGTGTTTATAAAGAAATACGTTTTCAATTTCTAGATCATCTTTGACTTCTCTTTTGCCTTGTTAAAATCCCAGAAATCTTCTGAATTATGAATCTCAAGAGAATTAAAGACAGTAATTCTTTTGCTGCCACACTGGCTCCGCAGTGCCCCTCACTCACACCCTGATGCTTGCACAAGGCTAAGTCATCACATGGAATTACTCATTCAGTGGGACATTTGCACAAAGTAAATTAAGCAAAAGGCCAAACTCTGGCAAAGTGCATTTAACCATATCAAAGATTGATTCCTATTTATAAAAAGGCTCCCATTGGAATGGACTCCTAGGGCCTGCAAGAAAAAGCTCAGCTTGACATATACATCTGTCTAATCTGAATCAAGCTAAATTTTAGTCTAACTAAAGATGGTAATGTAAAATTTTAAATACTTTTTCCCTGCAGTTGGAAAAAATAGCGAGTGTTACACATTGGGGAACAAATAATAATCAACTCAGTTCTTCAAAACATTTTTTGATACAAGGGATTGATTTCAACTGGAAGAGAGTTTAACCAGAAAAATCCCTACCAGCTTTATGAATGACCTCTAGTTCCAGGTTAAATCCCTTATACTTACAGAGCAGATATTCTGTGGTTGGTATTTGCAGTATCTGGTTTCAGTGAATGGGGACAACTCTAACCCAAAAGCCTTGGCCGTGCTCATACGTTATTTTTGGCAACATGACACTGGTATTGTCCGTCACAGGATTCCACAGGACCAGCTGCACTGTGCCACTGCCAATTTGGGTGTTTATTTTTAAAAGACAGAGAATAGGAACATCACAAAGAGTCAAAAAACTGTTTGTGCCGCAGCTTCTAGCACGAATAATCAGACCTGATTAGCAATGGTGATATCGTAAAAAACCTGCAATATTCCCAACCTTTCTTGTTTTCTGCTGAAGCGAGGGAATACGGTGCCAGCCTGCTTCCTAACCTTCCAAGACTTTGAGGAGTCATTGTGGGCAATGTGTTAGTGGTTTTCTCTCTGTCTTCTACTTCCAGCCCTAAAGGCAGAGTTTGAAGAAATGTGCTGGAGCTCAGCACACACAAGCTCGATGTCTGCTGGTCAGAAAATGAGACACAGGGGGGAAAAAAGGAAAATAAACAAGTTCTTCATATGCTTCTTCATAAGAGTGCTTTTGACTGTAATTCCCTTAAGATATGTAAGTATAGGAAAGCTGGTAGGAGACACATGGAAAAGAAAATAACTGGAAGGAAGCTGCTCCAAAACCAGTTTATAGCTGGAGAAAGTGGGTTCTGCATCCCGGCCACCAACAGTGAGCCCTTGGAAATGGCAAAGGCAGTGGCTTCTGGTCACAGCCCAATAGTTGATGAAGATTGATCATTATGTTATCTGTTTATTACCTTGGCCTATATCTCAGACTGTGCAATTTAAACTCGTATCCAGATGTTACAGCTAATTGCTTACTGAATTTTCCAAGTGAAAATACTTTTTTCAGAGCATTTCCATCCCCCCCAGTTGTGAATTTCAGAGTTACTGTAGTGTGCATCACGGTGACAGTGGTGTAATTGGGTACTTTAATTAATCTGTACTCTATTCAATTAAGATGGGGTTATATCTGGTTTATTCACTTCATTCAGTAACCAAGGAGTGGGCATGTAAGCAATTATTGAACAAAAAAAAGAACCCAGTGTCAAACACCTGACACCAACCATAGTCACATGTATGAAAGTGGTGAGACAAGCAAACACCTCAAAACTGACTGTTTGGATTTCTGCACTGTCTGTAGAATATGCTGGGTGTTCACCTAGTTTGATCAGTCTTGTCAAGGAGCTGCCAGGGCTATGGGAGAGACTCAGGATTAGAGGAAGGGATGTGAGAGGGCTGCTGGCAATAACACACTTGTTCACTGCTCGAGAGCCAAGAGCCTGCCACGGGCACCCCTTAAGCTCGGCCACCATCGTCCTCCTCCTTCAGCCACGAGAGAGGAAACCTGTTCTTAGAGTACCTGGGGATTCATTCCTTTCTGTACAATGAAGGCAATGATTCAGTGCCTGAAGACTGGGAAAATGAACAAACTCCACAGGCACAGAATGGAATCTATTAGAAAAGGAGAGGTTCCAGGCACGAGGAAAAGAACAAACAGGCCATGCAGTAACAAAACAGGAGAGGATGGGGGAAGGGCAGGAAAGCAGAGTGAGGCTTTGCTACAAAAGCTACCTGCAGACACATGGACAAAAGAAATGAGAACAAGACAGACAAAAGAAGTCTGGAAAGTCAAACGTGAGGGGGGGAATTCAGAGCAAAATATAA